GAAAACATATAGGCTAAGTAAAAAAAAAGGACGGATATTTTCAAAGAGACAAGCAGCCGAGATGGATGGAGTGTTGTAGGCTATATTTGAAGTCCATGGATCGAATCCCGCTGGCGTTTATTCTTTTGTCCTGAAGGAATCCAGTTCCCAAGTCCGGATTTGGTCCTAAAAACAAGTTTAGCCATTTTAAAAAACCGGATGTACGTACACCCGGGTGTACAATATAGGCACTCAGAACGGCATGTAAAATCACCTCCCCAAGTTCGCCTAATTTATGACATTTATACCAAGGTAAAATCGCACTTTTAATCCTGGAAATAATTTATGACTTTTAATCCTTATTTCTTAGTTTATGAATGTCACCCTTCAATTGTTTAAATAGCTGTAAATGTAGTCTTTTGAGAAGTGAAATGTATAATGTGGACTGAGAGTACATTTCACCCCTCAAAGGACCACATTTACAGTAATTTGAAAAATTGAGGGGTGACATTTACAATTTCAGAAATACGAGTTTCACATTTCAATATGATGACTATTTCAAGGATTAAAAGTATAATCTTCTCTTATATGAATGAAAAAGTGGTTTAAATGAAAATCATGTTTACAACTTTACATATAGTACTCCTTCTCATTAAGATGTTTTTTTCTTTTAATTTTTTTAAATCAATTATGAACTAGATTTATGTAGGGAAATGGTCCAAAATAGAAGCAAAAGAAGGCCGGTGTACCCAAAAAGGAGTCCTTCCTTTTAAATTACCTAAACGGGAGTGTGTACTAGCAGCACGTCAACCCTTCTATGCCCTCTCTCTTCTCTTCAATGTTGCTATCTTCTTCTCTACCTTTCTTTCATTTTCTAGCTTACATAGCCAGGATCATGATGTGCATACTAGCGTAACAACGGAGGCGGCACACAGTAGTTGAAGAAGACGAAGTGATGGAGCCACAAGCCGCCGCCACCGGAGGCAATTTTGGGGCGGTGGTGACGGTGAGTCTTCTTCTCCATTTTCTCTTCTTCGTCTTCTTGTACTTTTTCTTCTTCTCTTCATCTTCTTCTCCTTTCCTTCTTCTCCCCCTTTCACCCTTCTCGTATGTTTTGCTTCACCTATTTGTTTGTTTGTTTCTTTATTTATTTATTTATTTATTTATTTATTTATTTATTTATTTATTTATTTATTTATTTATTTATTTATTTATTTATTTATTTATTTATTTATTTATTTATTTATTTATTTATTTATTTATTTATTTATTTATTTATTTATTTATTTATTTATTTATTTATTTATTTATTTATTTATTTATTTATTTATTTATTTATTTATTTGTTATTTTCCACTATTTGTTTGGTTTAGTTTTGATAGAGCTTCTTCTAACTGAAAACTGCTATTTTTTTGAAAGACTGGAAATTTCTATTTGAGATCTGAAAATTTTTGGATTGGAAAATTCAAGACCCAATTATTTGGACTATAAAATTTTATATCTGTTTATTTTTATTTTTTGTGTTCCTACTAATTTATTTTAAAAAATAACATTAATTTTTCTAAGGATTATGAATATGAAAATGGAAGTTTGAACATATAATCATACCATTTTTAGTCTTTCCTTTATCTAGATGGAAATAATATAATAGTATTGTAAATATAGTGGCATGTTCTAAAATGTCACTTTGACAAATAATATCACTTTTATGACATGACTTTATGTGTTGAGGTTTATTCTCTTTTTTACATTTGGGTTTTTAATCCCGCCGTTTTTATCTTAATGTGGCATTATATTATACGAAATTGTCATCTTTTTATGTGTTGAGGTTTATTCCTTTAACCCAAAGGTCCAACACGTCCCTATAGATTTCGTGTGGAATGTTTAATGGATGTATGATGCAAGCAAGTAAAGAAGGGCCAATGATGGGGGTAGTATGTGGGCCATAACTTATTAAATAATAAGGGTCCGTATACAACACACTTCAACTACAAGCCCCGAGACCGTTAATCTATCTCAGTAAGAAGAGCTAGAGATAATTGCTATTGCTAGAGGGAATAAGTTGACAACCATTTAAAATAAAATAAATGCTACTCCCTCCTTCCCCTTTTAAATGTCCCATTTTACCATATTGGGATGTTCCTATTTAATTGTCTCATTCCTTATTTGGTAAAGTTTGTGTGACTCAAAATCATTCTTACTTTATTCTTACTTTATCAATTAATATCAACCACACAAACCACTTTTCTTAAAACTCGTGCCACCCTCTTCCGTCCCGATAAAAAAGGGACGGAGGTAGTACTATTTATACTATCGAGAGGTAGGTGATGTTGATGACGTGGAGGGCTACGAGTGGCTAGTTCTCCAACCATCAAATCTACAGCATTAAATGCGATTCCCGCCAATATCTTGATTTCTAGCCTAGTGGTTTGGACGAGCATCCACCGGGTCTTGGGCCTAGTCTTTGGCTAGGCACAAGGGCGAGGCTTCGCTCGGCTCATGTGGGCTACCTAACCGAAGATCGGTTAACATTTGGCCAAGGTTGCTACGGCCGACCATCCTGGGGATCCAGACGAGCATTTGTTTAATTATTATCTTGCCTGTCGTGCCTGTACCACCCATTCCACCCGGTCTGGCCGGTTTGGGGCGAATGTCACTATCGATTATCTTTTAATAAAAATTCCCAATAAAATTACGGAGTAATTAAAATATAAAATAAAAGTCCAGTTTTGACTTTATTGTTCAATTACTCAAAAATACGTATAAAGATTTCATATAATCTTACTCAATGCTTCTTTAATACAAATCAATTCAGAATTCTTTTCCCCATCTTTTCAACCAGATTAAGGTGATTTAGATTCACATAGCAGTAAACCGGAACATATACCCCTTAAGAAAAATATTCATACACAATTCTTTAATCTTTTATTTTAGTCTTTACTCTTTGGACCAGACTCTAGCTAGGATACAGATAAAGTAATTTCGAACAAAGTTCTAATTATTTTACCAATCAGATAACAGAGATCTTCAAATCACTAGGATCATCAGATAACAGAGATCTTACCAATCAGATAACAATCAGATAACAATCAGACTCTAGCTAGGATACAGATAAAGTAATTTCGAACAAAGTTCTAATTATTTTACCAATAAGATAACAGATATTTTCAAATCACTAGGATCATCAGATAACAGAACAGGGATTCAGAGGACCCTGGCCTGGGCCGTATGCTAGCACACCAGAGGAGTCGTAGTCGGTAAAACCAACTCGTATCCAAAACAGAATAGAACAGAGGTACCCATAACTATCATCTAAATCCTGGAGTAAGGCTAATTTCCAAAATATTTCTTAAATGGATGTATTATTGAAAAATGTGATATATAATTATATAGCTTCTCTAAATATACAGTCGTACATATAAATATACTCTTCTAAATCTTATACTCCGTATGTAGTTTCCTTTTATACAATTGCGTCCGTACGTATCTTCTGAAATGCTGAAACAAGGCAATTAATCATTTATATATATACAAAATATTACTAGCTTTATATTATGCGCTTTTCCACTTCTTCTACCAAAACGGCAGTACAAATCAAATTGACAATAACCCAAACCCAAATACGAAGTATCAATTGACTACTAGCTTTTACCTTAAATCATGTTTATTTAATCACAAAACAACACCGAAAGTTATTATTGTTAAAAAATAGATACTCTTAACTGACACTTAATTAATAGAACTATATATATGCTTGTTATTCGTGAAAGTGGATATGGATAAAAACTCCTAACGTCACTTAACAAACATGCTGGTTAATATATAAAAGAAATAATAACATCATACAAAATCATCTTTAATGAACTGGAAATGGAAGTAGCCCAAAAGTTTATATTACAATAAAAGTAACTCGTATATTCTTAATTTAATTAACTAAAAAGAAGTAGTTAGGATTAACAAATGTTATAACCAAGCAAGAATGTAAATACATGTCGTATTATAATACTGACCTAGTGACCTTAATAAATGAATAAAATCCGTAATTGGATCAATTGACCTTCCTCCTTTTTCTTTCTCTTTTGTTTCCCATTTCTCCCTTAATTTCTTCCTTACTTTTACTCTCCTACGGAGTACTTCTTTTCCTCGGCTCTCTCCCTATCAGATTCTTTACCTTCTCCTAACCATGCATGGCTTTTGAGTGTATATAATGCTTTATAAATAATTATAAGGAATTTTATGAATTCGGGACCTGAAAGATGGATGAATTATCAATTCGGGACCCGAAAGATGAAATGTATCAATATAGGACCTGAATAATGAAAAACTATCAATCTAGGACCTAACATTTCATAGGTTTTGATGTATTTAATTTTTTACTAACTCCATTGCTAATATTTGGTGAATTTTTTTTCACAAAAGTTTTTTAGTTTAATAAAACAAAATGTTATTTATTTTTTTTAAAATGAAAAAAGTAATAAAATTTATGAAAACTTAGGTTCTAAATTGATAGTTTCCTATCATTCGGGTCTTAGATTGATAGTTTTCCATCATTCGGGTCCTATACTGATACATTTCATCTTTCAGGTCCCGGATTGATAATTCGTCTATCTTTCAGGTCCTGGATTGATAAAAATCCTAATTATAAAGACTGTCATATATGCCCCTTGATATAATCTAATAGTTAGCAACGTGGCTTCCTCTTGTTATCCTATATGACCAGATGTTACCATGGAGCATCTTGCATTGCCACGTTATATGTATCTATGAAGCCCAATATTAGAGCTATTATTATTATTATTATTATTATTATTATTATTATTATTATTATTATTATTATTATTATTATTATTATTATTATTATTATTATTATTATTATTATTATTATTAATTATTGTTATTACTATTGTATACGTTTGTCCATTAGCTCTTAGCATTATTAGTAGGTCCCTCCATGAATTATTATGAACCCAATGTATTGTCTTATATATACTTGCATTATCTGCGAATGTAAGAAGAATGGATTTGCTTTGCCAATTATATCAAATCCACATGGTATCAGAGCATTATCATTTAGCTATATTCTTTCTTTGAATTTTCTTCTATGGCCATCGGGGAGGAAGAACCATCCTCTGCCATATCCTCCTCTCCAAAAATGGAGTACACCATCTCCTTTCTTTTTAGGACCTCAAGATCGACCAGGAGATTTTATTACTCCCGTCCGTCTTACCGGCGATAACTATGATGACTGGTCAAGCTCCGTTCGTCTTGCTCTTCGGGCTAGACGTAAATTTGTATTTATCAACGGCACCATCACTGAACCAACACCTCCTTGGACCGAGGAAGATTGGCTGACAATACACTCCATGTTAGTCTCTTGGATATTAAACACGATATCTCCCGAGGTAAAAACTACTCTTTCAAAATTTGATGATGCAAAACTACTTTGGGATGATTTGAAAGAACGTTTTTCCATTGTTGATGGTCCTAAAATTCACCAAGTTAAATCTGATATCGCCCACTGTGAGCAATCTAAAACTCAAACTGTTGCGATTTACTATGGAAAATTGAAAGTGTTGTGGGATGAACTCAATAATTATGAACCATTAATTGCGTGTTCTTGTGGAAAGTGTACATGTAAAATCAACTCCTTGCATGAACAACGACGAGAGTCGGAACGACTTCATCAATTTTTGATGGGTCTTTCCGCCGATTTTTATGGTCAAATACGATCTCAACTGCTCTCACAAACTCCACTCCCCACACTTAATCGTGTTTTTCAACAAATATCTCAAGAAGAGCGGGTACGAGGAATTATGCAAAATAAAAATAAGGATGATCATTCTGAAATTTTGGGTTTTGCCGTGCATGGTGGGCGGCCAAAACCAGATCATAAGATTGACAAAACTAATCTCTTATGCACACATTGTAAGTCACGTGGGCATGAATTATCTAGCTGCTTTGAAATAATTGGGTATCCTGAATGGTGGGGCCCGCGCCCAAGAATTTCACATGCAACTGCCAAGAAGCCAGCTCGTGAAACAGGCTCCAACTTTTCTCCTCTACAGCTTGGAATGCGTCCAGATTATCGCAGCTCTACAGGAAACCAAGGCAATCAGTCACTGCTTCACCACCCAAGTGGACCTCCACGCCAGATGGGACGCCCAAATGGGTCCACTCGTGCCCATGTTGTTTCCGCCGCTGGAGATAGCGGTTTTGACACGTTGGCTGCAGGGTCAACATCTGCCAACTCCTTACCTATGGAGCCCATGCACGGACCTCTGCCGGGTTTCTCACATGATCAATGGCAGTCTCTATTTGCCGCTTTCGGTAGTTCTTCTTCTCCGTCTTGCCGTATGACTGATACGTTTGAATCTACCTCTGGGATAATAGATAGTGGGGCTTCTAATCATATTACGGGTGATTTATTAAACCTCCTGCATGTATATGATATCCCCTCTCGCATGGTTACCCTTCCTAATGGCCAACAGTCAGTAGCTAACAAAGCTGGAAGAATTTTATTATCAAAGGATTTTTGGTTACTCAACGTACTCTTTGTGCCGGAAGTGAAGTGCAACTTACTTTCAGTCTCTCAACTTATTAAAGATAATAAATGCTTTGTACAATTTTCATTTAACATTTGTGCTATACAGGACCTTCACTCGAAGAAAGTGATTGGGCTGGGTGAACAAAGGGATGGACTTTATTATTTCTGTACGGAAGGTGTAACACAAGCTCTTGCAGTCAGAAACTCATCTACAACTATGAATGTTTGGCATCAACGTTTGGGACACCCTTCTGAAAGTATTGTACAGTGGTTATTTCCCAATGATGCTCCTAAAAAGAATTTCCCTAACCCGTGTGAAATATGTCATAAGGCAAAACAGTCAAGGGATTCTTTTCCTTTGAGCATCAATAAAACTACCAGAACATTTGAACTTATTCATTGTGACGTTTGGGGGCCTTATAATACTCCCTCTTCATGTGGTGCTAAATGTTTTTTAACGCTAGTGGATGATTTTTCTCGAGTTGTTTGGGTTTATTTGTTGCTTGATAAAACTCAGGTATATGATATCTTCATGTCATTTGTGGCAATGGTTGACCGTCAATTTTCTAGAAAAATATCCATGGTACGTAGTGATAATGGTACTGAATTCCATTGTTTAAAGAATTACTTTACTACCAATGGTATTATTTTTCAAACGACATGTGTGCCACTCCTCAACAAAATGGTAGAGTGGAACGGAAACATCGTCACATTCTTAATATTGCTCGAGCGTTAAGATTTCAAGGAAATTTACCAATTTCTTTTTGGGGAGAATGTGTACTTACTGCCGCCCATCTTATTAACCGTACACCTTCAGCTTTACTCCAACACAAAACTCCTTTTGAAATATTATTTGGTGTCCTACCTAATTATCAAACTTTACGTGTTTTTGGTTGTCTCTGTTTTGCCCATAACCAAAAAACTAAAGGTGATAAATTTGCTAGTCGCAGCCGAAAATGTATTTTTCTTGGATATCCGTTTGGCAAAAAAGGATGGTACTTGCTTGATCTGGAAACTAAGGAACAATTTACATCCCGAGATGTTAAATTTTATGAACACATTTTCCCATATAAGGACTCTACTATCCTATCTCCCACTTTGGCCGAACACTACCCACCCCCTGAAATGCACTTGGATTTTTTTTTTTTTTTTACCCCGGAAGACCAACCACCAAAATCAGTGGGGTAGTTGCCGGGGGACAACTACCAGTATTTTATATTAGAACAGTAGAAGTTCAGTACAATACCAGACAGCGGGGGACTAGACCAAAAACCGCTCCTGAAGGAAATAATGCTAGAATCTAAAAAAAGGCCAACCAAACAGGTCCGCGTAGTAACTTTGTTTTGCCCGAATAGGAAGCTGATCCACATGATAGAAATGGGTTTCCGAAAAATCGGATCCAGCTAAGTAATGGGCTACAAAATTTGCTTCTCTAAAGATATGTCCGAAAACCAGCCCACTCTCTCTTGCTTTCCTCCTGAATGTCCGAACACCATCAGTCTGCATCTCGTTGCTTTCATCTGAAACACTGGAAAGGGAGCTTACAGCATCAACTTCTACCTGGAACCCGCTATATCCCATCTCCATCACCATAACACAAGCTCTAATTAGAGCTTTCAATTCTGCCTCTGCACTCGACGAAGCCTGAAGGTCAAAACATGCCGCCCAGATGAACTCGCCCGATTTGTTTCTCAAAATTGCACCACCTTCCGATTTATCAGGTATGTAGGAAGCATCAATGTTCAGCTTATAATCAGTTCTTGGTCTTTTCCATTTCACCATAGTACACCAGGATCCCTTAAACCGAAAGCCCTGAGGTATCAATTTCTCATGTATGAGATGTTCATCGATGGGTCTCCATTTCAGACCTGATATCTTATTACTCCAATTCTGTGTATATAGCTTAATTTGCCAAATTAAAGTATCTGATGAAGGAATAGAACCAGATCCCCATTTGAAACGGTATGGCCCATGCTTTAGCGGGTCTTAATATTTCTCCAGCCCAAGTAGTAATCTTTGATCGAGTTGGCCATCTGCCCAAAGAAGTTAAGAGGAACTACTATGCCGATTTGTTCAACTTCCCTTGTATTCGGTTTTGATTCTTGAAACTTTAATTTTGGGTCTGGTTTATTCCCCCAAATGATCTTTATTTTTTACCTGTTTACTTTTTAGGTTGTTTCTGTTTTCCAGAGGTATGCCTCTGTGAGAGGTTTGGTTTGGTCCCCCTCTCTTTTGTATTCTTCTCATTTCAATAAAATAACGGCATCTGACTCCCGGCATTTGCCCCACTGATTTTGGTGGTTTGCCTTCCGGGATAAAAAAAAAAAAAAAAAAAAAAAAAAAAAAATGCCAACAAATCATACCTGGAATATTGTGCTTAAAGAGGTCTGAAAGGGTCTTTGAACCAGCTTCAAGCCACCATAAAATCATAATCTGTCTAATAGAAGTGTAACTTTTAGGGAATGGAATGTCAAATACACCCATAAAGTACTGCCAAATCTTCCTAACATTTACACAGTTAAAGAAAATATGGTTGGTCTGTTCACTGTGCCTTCCAAACACTTCACGTGACCAGCCAACTATATCCACTCCCTCAAATAATTTGGATTTATCTCCAAGTACAACCCCATACCTGCCAGCTAATGACGTGAGCCCCTCTCCATCATCCATGGCCAGTGATTCATCTCCTACGGAGGGCCCTCTAGGTAGGGGAATGTGACAAAAGTTTCCGTCAATCATCCTGAAAGATTATGCTACTCATACAGTTTCTCAAAGTCCATCCCACGTTCTGCCTACCCAATCATTTTCTTCAGGTACACCATTCCCTATAGTACATTATGTTAACTGTGAAAATTTTTCTAATCGGCACCAAGCATTTCTTGCCGCCATTACCACAGCTCATGAACCCAGAAATTTTAATGAAGCTACGAAACATAAAGAATGGCGTGCGGCCATGGAATCAGAACTTCACGCTCTTGACACTAATCGAACATGGACTTTACAAAAACTTCCTCCGGGAAAGAGGGCTTTAGGTTGTCGTTGGGTGTATAAAATAAAATATCACTCGGATGGAACAATAGAACGCTTCAAAGCCCGATTGGTTATCTTTGGAAACCGACAGGTTGCCGGTTTAGATTACAATGAGACTTTTTCTCCAGTTGCTAAAATGGTAACTGTCCGTGCTTTCTTGGCGGTTTCCGCTTCTAAAAAGTGGGAATTACATCAAATGGATGTTCATAATGCATTTCTTCACGGCGACCTTCAGGAGGAAGTCTATATGACCCTTCCCCCGGGATATACCACAACAGATCCTAGCTTGGTGTGTCGTCTGCATAAGTCCCTTTATGGGCTAAAACAAGCCCCCCGATGTTGGTTTGCCAAATTAGTGTCCGCCTTAAAAACATATGGTTTTTCCCAATCTTATGCTGATTATTCCCTTTTTACCTACACCCGGGCCCAAGCACATATAAATGTCCTCGTCTACGTTGATGACTTGTTAATCTCTGGAAATGATTCTCACACAATCCGGGTATTTAAAGACTACTTGTGTGCTTGTTTTCACATGAAGGATTTGGGTACACTGAAATATTTTTTGGGCATTGAAGTTGCGCGGAGTACAACTGGATTATTTCTTACACAACGGAAGTACACCCTTGATATTATATCTGAAACAGGTCTTCTTGGAGCTAAACCAGCCACATCTCCTATTGAACAAAATCATACATTATCGCGTGCCACCACTGATGTTCTTTTAGATCCTGAGCCTTATCGGCGCCTTTTAGGAAGGCTTATTTATTTAGCAGTCACTCGTCCTGATCTGGCCTACTCAGTGCATATTTTATCTCAGTGTTTGCAACAGCCACGACAAGAACATTGGGATGCTGCTTTAAGGGTTGTCCGATATCTGAAAGGTTCTCCGGGTCAAGGAATCCTCGTTCGAGCCGATAGTCCTCTAACTCTCAAAGGATGGTGTGATTCTGATTGGGCGGCATGTCCCCTTACTCGACGTTCTTTATCTGGTTGGATTGTTTTTCTGGGTCATTCTCCAATTTCCTGGAAAACTAAAAAGCAACATACTGTCTCACGCTCCTCCGCAGAAGCCGAATACCGCTCCATGGCCGCCGCTACTTGTGAATTAAAATGGTTGAAAGGTCTTCTTCTCAGTCTCGGCGTTAATCACTCTGAGGCTATTCCCCTATTTTGTGAAAGTTAGTCTGCCATTCACATCGCCCGAAATCCGGTGTTCCATGAACGTACCAAACACATTGAAGTTGACTGTCATTTTGTCAGGGATGCTATCAATGATGGTGTGATCTCACCTGTTCATGTACCCACTACTTATCAACTGGCGGATATATTTACCAAAGCATTAGGAAAAACACAGTTTCATTTTCTTCTCCGCAAGTTGGGCATTCTGGATCTTCATGCTCCCACTTGAGGGAGGGTATTAGAGCTATTATTATTATTATTATTATTATTATTATTATTATTATTATTATTATTATTATTATTATTATTATTATTATTATTATTATTATTATTATTATTATTATTATTATTATTATTATTATTATTATTATTATTATTATTATTATTATTATTATTATTATTATTATTATTATTATTATTATTATTATTATTATTATTATTATTATTATTATTATTATTATTATTATTATTATTATTATTATTATTATTATTATTATTATTATTATTATTATTAATTATTGTTATTACTATTGTATACGTTTGTCCATTAGCTCTTAGCATTATTAGTAGGTCCCTCCATGAGTTATTATGAACCCAATGTATTGTCTTTATGTTTCAATCTATTTGTCTATTTCCTTAGTCATGCAGCCCTTAAACTTGCCGAATGCATGTGAGTGCATGTGTGGATTATTAATTATTTGTGATGTTTATAAATGATTGGAGTGTGCCAGCCATATCTCTTTCATTATTCATATTTACTCATTTATCCACCTTGTCTCTTAGCTTCTTACATATTTGGACGAGTGTCCTAATCAGGTAGGAGTCATGCATGTTTTGTTAGTGTCTCAAGGGTTTTATTTGTTGTCTCTAGCTTATTAAATTAGTTTTGTAAAACACTGACTGTCCATGCATTAAACCCCAAGTGTTCGATGAAATTTTAATGTTGTAATAAAGCATTATTTTTTATCATATCTCCTAGACCGGATTTTGGGGTGTTACAGTGCCCCATTGGGCCATAATGGTTTTCTTGCCAAGGCCTAAGGGGTAAAAGGCTGATCTGCTATCGGGCCTATTAACCCAACACAAGTCCCCACTTCTGATGTTCCGAGCGTGCGCGGGACATGAAGAAGTGTAAGTCTTCGCAAAGCCGAGCTTCCTCGATAATCCTGACGTGACAACTCATTAGGCGGTTCCCGAAACCCTAGGTGACAGTTACGGTGTCGTATCAACTTCCAACGGAAAGGTAATCATGTTGAGCTTCGTGTGACACGTGTCCTAGGATATGCTCCTCGCCATGTGTCATG